AATAATTTTATTTTGCTCTCTCCCCTCTTTTTTTCAAATTAAAAAAAAAAAATCACTGGCCAGCGGGTTAACCGTGGCCCGTGAAGGTGCAACCCGCGAATCTCGCGGGTCACACCTCCTTGACCCGTGAACCGTCCACTCGGGTCACGGGTCGGCCCGAGGTCCCGAGTCGATTTGGGCCGATTTTCACGAGTCTGACCGACCCGTCCGTTTTGACACCTCTACTAAAAAGAAAAAGTATGGGAATCAAACGGATCTAATTTTTTTTTCCTAATGTTATCTAGTTTTTTTTTTTTTTTTGAAGATTAATGTTATCTTGTTTTAAGGGAAAAGAAAAAAATAAGTCGTTATTATGAAATTGAGCATGATACACAACTAAAGGAAATTGAGGAAAATTGAAAATAAAACGAACACAAGGATCTTACATGAAAAATCCCATTAAATTTGAAGTAAGAAAATCATGAACCAGTATAGAAGGATTCTACTGTAATAAGATGGATTGTGCTTGGAGTACATAATTATTGGTACACAAGGGTGTCCATTATGTACCAGTAACTTTTTCCTAATAAGATAATTACAATCTCACTAAATATAAGGACATAACAATAAGTAATATCTCATAAAAAAAATTTAGAGGTGAAACTAAAATAAGAAACACTCCCGTATTTGCCTTGGAAGAAATTTTTAGGGCAAAAAAATGATTTTTTGGACTGTTGGACAACATTTGCAGCCGTCTTTGTTGACCAAAACTTCATAGGTGTGTGAAAAACGGTCAAAAAATTGGAGGGGCCCACGACCAAAAAAATCCCTTTAAGAGAAGAGAGTTTTGTTCGAAATATACAATGGGTAATTGGCACGAGACATTTCTGCCGTTAAAGCATATTGTGGAAAATGTTCATATGTTTCATTCTTTGATATTTTTGTCCTCATTCCAACATTTCTTTGCGCTGGAGGTCCTTTCATCCATTTTTTTAATAAAATGACGATTTTACCCTCCTAATCAAACAAAAGAAAAGAAAAGTTAAAGAATAAATTGCAATCATACCCTCAAATTTTTTAAAAAGTGCAAATGAGTCCAAATAAATTATTAAAAGGGTAATTAACACAAAACATCCACACATTTCATTATTATTGTGCAAAATGTTCCTACATTTCATTTTTTGATATTTAAATCCTTATTTAAATCATTATTTTCATTCATTTTCTCAATAAAATGATAAATATACCCTCCTCTTTATATAGAAAAAATAAAATAACTAGAGAAAAATAATGAACAAATTGTAAGTATACTCCCAAATTTTTCAAACAATTACAAATAAATAATTAAAAAATAAAAATTTGTACTTTTTAAAAATTATTTATTTGAAATTTATTTGTACTTTTTAAAAATTTTGTACAATTTGTTTGTTATTTTTCTTTAGTTTATTTTTTATATATAAAGAGGAGGGTATATTCGTCATTTTATAACTTTTAATTGAGAAAATGAATGAAAGTAATGTTTTTTGCAATTAAATATGAAAATAAGGGTTCAAATATTAAAAAATGAAAGATATGGACGTTTTGCATAATAATAATGAAAGGTGGGGACGTTTTGTGCTAATTACCCTTTTAATAATTTATTTGGACTCATTTACACTTTTTAAAAAAGTTTGAGGGTATGATTGCAATTTGTTATTTAACTTTTCTTTTCTTTTTTTTTATTTGAATAAGAGGGTAAAATCGTCATTTTATTGAAAAAATGGATGAAAATGACCTCCAACGGGCACAAATGCCAAAAAATAAAAGATATGAACGTTTTCCACAATGGGCTTGAAAGAGAGAGATTTGTGTCAATTACCCAATATACAATCTAGAAGATGTCCAAATTAGATAGCTTTCATCATCTTTTGATACCCACCGATCAAAATTTGGGTTAGTCTACATTTACATAGCAACGTACATAACGGTGTCCATAAGGGGCAAGTGGCGTCCTCCTATTGGAGGGGGCGCCTTCTGGTACATTCCTTATACTAGAATTATCCTAAAAATTTTCACTTATTCATGGCTGCTAAATGTGCACAGTTCATATGAAAAGTCTACATGTGCACAGTTCATATGAAAAGTCTACAATGGCGAGCCATTTTCTGTCATGTTTCTATATATAGTGAATAAACGGTAATGCAAGAACTCCTAAAAGTTTCAAATTCAAGGATGGCATTACCTATTGGAGAACAATCTATTGAGCTTCTGCAAGCCCAAGCTCACGTTTTGAACAGCATATTCAACTACGTGAACTCCATGTCTCTCAAATGTGCAACTCAACTAGGCATACCAGATATCATCCACAGACATGGCAAACCAATGACACTTCAAGAGCTAGTCGATGCCCTCCAGATCAACAGTGCAAAAGCACAAGCTGTGTACCGTCTGATGCGGATTCTAACTCATTCAGGGTTCTTCGTTGAGGAAAAAATCTCTGGGGATGATACAAATATGGGATATTGTCTTACACAAGCTTCTCGTCTCCTCCTTAAGGATGACGCCTTGAGTTCACTACCAGTTTTACAAATCCTTCTCGATCCGATCTTCATAAAGGCATGGCATCATATGAGTGAATGGTTTGAAAATAATGAGGACTCGTCTGCTTTTGAGACGGCCTATGGTAGGACATTTTGGGACTATGGCAGTCAGGAGCCGAGGATGAATCACCTGTTCAATAAAGCAATGGCTAGTGAGACTCAGGTGGTGACTAACGTAGTTACTAGAGATTGCAAACAAGTCTTCGAAAAGTTGAAGTTAATTGTGGACGTTGGTGGTGGCACGGGATCGATGGCCAAAGCTATTGCTGACTCTTTTCCGGACTTGCAATGTGTCGTGTTTGATCTTCCACATGTTATTGCGGGCTTAGAAGGGACAAAGAATTTGACCTACATTGGAGGAAACATGTTTGAATCTATTCCTCATGCAGATGCACTTATACTCAAGGTATGGAGTTTGTTTTTATTTCCAACTAACAACACATTATTTTGCAAATTGCAATTGATTTTTATTAATATTGGCTAATTCCATGCATACGCTCCAAATCCAACTTATGAGTTAGTACTTTTTTATCTTACAGTAAAATTATTTAACTGTATTGCCCCCAAATTTATTTACGAAATTTATTTCAAACAAACTGTGACATGATATTTGTAACAAACAGTGGATTTTGCATAACTGGTGCGACGAAGATTGCGTGAAAATATTGAAGAAATGCAAAGAAGCAATCCCAAGTAAGGAGAATGGAGGAAAATTGATAATTATTGACATGATCGTAGGAAACAAGAAGGAAGACCACGAAGGAATTGAAACTCAGCTGTTCTATGATATGTGCATGATGGTTTTTACTAATGGAAGAGAAAGAACGGAGAAAGAGTGGGCAAAACTGTTCTTCGATGCTGGCTTTGCTGGATACAAGATTGTATATGAGTTAGGATTGAAGGCTATTATTGAGGTTTATCCTTGATCATTGGGATTTCATTTTAAAATGTCAATCTTACTAAGATGAATAATTCAAATCCTTATATATTGGTTTATACTTTTATCGTTATACATATCCTTTAACATACCCTTCACAAAATGATGGCTCATTTGAGAAGATCAATCTTTAAATTCACGTGCGTGCTCTTTTTTTAATCTTATTTGGATCGAACTACTTGTTGTAATTTAATGTGCTCTGATATTATATTAACACTTAAGGTTCCATCTTAAAAAATCAATGTTATTAGGAAGGGTAGCCAAAACACTTATACATTGATTTATATTTTTATCTTTATTTGACGTGAGATTTTATTCCTTAACAATTATCCAATCAACGATAGAAAAAACACAAAGATTAAATAAATCCAAAATTAAAATTTGGATAATAAATAACTTCGTTTGAATGCTTGCTGTGAAAAATTGCTGGTCTTCGAGGATTGTCTTTTCGATTCAAAATTTTAATTTTCAAAGGAGGAATTCGAAAATAATATGAGATAAAAGCCTAATTCAAGATGTTGGAATGTTATTCTAATCAGCAGTTGCTGTTCCTATATTTCCTTGTAAACTCTCGGTGTTGCTTTTGGAGCTCTTTGTTAAAAATAGTAGTTTTTACGTGTTTACCTACTCGATTTAAATTTGAGGTATTCCATTTTCCTTTTTCTATATATGTTCGAGGGGTGTGATATCGAAACCCTTTTAGCCGAAAGAACATTCTTCCCACCCGAAATTGGAAGCGTGAAGTTCCGACAAAAATGAAAGATGAAAATGGGAAATAGTGAGTCTTACCCTATTGCCACCTCATAAACCCATTGATTTTTATTTTTTTTTATAACCGCTCATATTATATTGACGACACCGTGATTTAATTAAATTTTCCAAAAACATCCAATTTTTCAGTGCATTGGAGGATATGGGTTAATAAAAAGTAAAAACTAAAGACAAGTTTACTTAACCACATGGCAGACAGGGGCTTAATAGCACAAAACGTCTCTACGTTTGATACTTATTGATGAAAACGTCCTTACATTTCATTTTTTTTTCCATTTGGTTTAATAGCACAAAGCATCCCTACGTTTGACACTTATTGCGGAAAACGTCCTTACGTTTCAAACTTTTTGTACTTGGCTCAATAACACAAAACGTCCCTACGTTTGACACTTATTGTGTAAAACATCCTTACGTTTCACTTCTTTTGCATTTTCCTCCTTATTTCAACGTTTCANGTTTTGCATTTTCGTCCTTATTTCAACGGTGCATTGCGGAAATCGTCATTTTCACTGTTTTTCAATGTAAAATGACCAATATATCCTCATATTTAAATAAAATAAAAAAAGGAAAATAAAAAAAAAATTCAATTATACTCTCAAACTTTTTAAAAAGTGCAAATGAGTCAAAAAACCTTATTAAAACATTAAGAAAAAAATTCACTTTCCCTCTTCTCGTCTCCTCTTGCCTTAGGCCTTCTCATCCTTCCACCACCTAAACCACCCGACCTTATCGCCATTCAAATCATCTCACCTCTCTCTACAACCTTCGATTAATGCCTGGCTGGGAACCAACCGAAAACATTACAATTAACACATTAAAAAATAAAAAAATAAAAAACAAATTAACAGGTCTTCATCGATTTCGCTTCCTTTACCTAAAAACTAAGATTTTGTTTTTTTATTTTGTTGCCCAATTATGCAAGCCCAATTTTTTTTTTTTATTTTTTTTTTATGTGTTAATTGTAATGTTTTCACTTGGTTCCCAACCAGGTATTGCCCGAAGATTGTAGAGGGAGGTGAGATGGTTTGAATGGTGGTGAGGTCTGGTGGTTTAGGTGGTGGAGGAAGGAGGAGGCGAGAAGATGGAAAGAGATTTTATTTTTTTTTTTTCATTTTTAATGTTTTAATAAGGTTTTTGGACTCATTTGCACTTTTTAAAAAGTTTGGGAGTATAATTGCAATTTTTTATTTTTCTTTTTTTGTTTTATTAAATATGAGGGTATATTGATCGTTTTACATTGAAAAACAGTGAAAATGACGTTTTTCACAATGAAACATTGAAATAAGGACGAAATGCAAAAAAAAAAAAAAATGTTAGGACGTTTTCCGCAATAAGTGTCAAACGTAGGGACGTTTTGTGCTATTAAGCTTTTTAATAAAGTTTTTGGACTCATTTGTACTTTTTAAAAGTTTGGGAGTATAATTGCAATTTATTTTTTATTTTTATTTTTCTTTTCTTTTTCCTTTTTTATTTTATTTAAATTTGAGGCCATATTGGTCATTTTACATTGAAAACAGTAAAAGTGACGTTTTCCACAATAAAATGTTGAAGTAAGGGCGAAAATGCAAAAAAAAAAAAAAGAAACGTAAGGACGTTTTCGGCAATAAGGGTCAAACATATGAATGTTTTGTGCTACTAAGCCCAGACAGAGAGAAGAAAGAAAAACTGAACCAAAAACCAGGCTACTGACCTTTTGCTAGGGCTGGGGCAAAACGTTCGAACCGAACCGAATCGAATGATTTTTCTTAAATTAAATACATGAACGAGTATCTGAATCGAGAACTGACGGATTTGGTTCGGTTCTCAATTCTAGATTAAGAACCGAATAAGAACCAAAGTTTTTTTTACTGGATAAGTCAAATTATTTTATTTTTTTTAAAACAACTTAACAATTTTTTGTTTTAACTATTTATTAGTTTTATTTTTAGTCTTTTTATCATTTCTTTTCTATTGTGGG